AGTAATATAGGATTTAGTTAAATCCAATGTATGGGATATATAACATCTTAATATAAAACATTTGAAATAGCAGAGGACTCAAGATATGCAATTTCACCGTGATTTTGATATTTCTGAATCAATTGTTAATGAGTCTCGTGATCTGAAATAATCTCAAGTACAATTTTAATATACTAAATTCATAAGTTATATCTTGGATAGAGCATTTTTACTATTTATTTTATCTATTTATTATATAATGAAAATGTATGCCTCATGTGTGTGTATTATAGAAAATTATATATCCTCTCTAAAGGTGTTATTCAAGTCAAGTCAAGCCAAAATATTTCATGTTCAAGCTCATGTTTGATTAATAAATGAGTCAGCTGTTGTACCAAAAAAAATAAAAATAAATGAGTCAGCTCTGCTCGACTCATTAATAAACAAGTGAGATCCAACTCAGTTAATACATAAATTAAATTAAGTGTTTGAAATTAGTTCCTTTAAATATAAGATCAAGTTGAGCTTGAGTTTTTTTGAGTCAAACTGAACTTGTGCGCAAACAGTTTTGTTCGAATAATAGCTTTTGTCCCCCCCAAAGAATTTTTCTAGATCCGCCCCTGAAACCCAGCTCGGTGTATACCCAGTCCAAACCCTCCAGAACGGCCCGAACCCGGCCCAACCCTCCAATTCAGTCTTTGGACCATCCTTCCTCTCGGCTGCCCAAAAAACCGTCCCAACCGAGCCCCTATCCTATGGTTCTATTTCTCTATCCGGTAATGATATGAAAGAGATGAGACGAATATTGTACTGAAGATCATCTCAATCGGATGATACAATCTATATAAACCAAGAATATATATACACAAAATTAGGGATATAGATAACCTAAAGCTAATACGGTAAATACACAAATATAACAATAAAAACATTGGTGAAGATCAAATATACACAATAACCCAAGAAAAAAAATCAAATTCACGCTTCCCAAGCGCCTTGGTGAAGATGTCAGCGAGCTGTGCCCCAGAAGGAACATGAGTGGTAGAAATGAGAACCTGAAGATCAGCATATCGAACAAAGTGGTAGTCCACCTCAATGTGTTCAGTGCGCTCGTGAAAAACCGGATTTGCCGCAATATGCAGTGCAGATTGACTGTCACAGTGTAACCGCATAGGCTGAAAGTGAGTGACATCAAGAGTAGATAACAGTCACCTTAACCACTTCAACTCGCATAATATAGTAGCCATAGCCCGATATTCAGCCTCAGGAGAAGAGCGTGCCACAGTAGGTTGTTTCTTGGTTCGCCAAGAAAACAGGAGACTGACCCAGCTGAATAAACCAACTAGAAAGAGACCGTCGAGTGAGAGGGCAAGACGCCCAATCCGAATCACACCATGCATAGAGTTGAAGATCGCAGTTAGTACGAAGATGAATCCTCTGACCAGGAGACCCTTTCAAATATCGAACCACACGTAGAGCAGAGTCCCAGTGAGCCTGACGTGGTTGGTGCATAAATTGAGGGAGCATATGCACCGAGTAAGACAACTCAGGTCGAGTCACTGCTAGATAGGTAAGACGTCCGACTAAACGACGATGTCGTTCGGGATCAGACAATAAATCACCCTCAGCGAGAGGGAACGAATGATTCTGCTCTAATGGAAAATCAGCTGGCATGCTCCCTAATAGTCCGAACTCAACTATGATGTCAAGAGCATACTTTCGTTGACAGAGAAAGAAGCCAGAAGAATTCCAGGCGACCTCGATACCCAGAAAATACTTAAACAACCCAAGATCCTTCATGTGAAAACAACGACTCAAGTAACTCTTGAAGGCCGCAATGGATGTGGTATCATTCCCGGAAACAATCAGATCATCAACATAGACCAGGACCTGCAGATGGACAGAACCACGATGCAGTGTGAAAAGAGAGTAGTCATGATAGGACTGACAAAAACCATACTGCTTCAAAGCCATAGACAACTTGGCAAACCAGCAGCGGGGAACCTGCATCAAGCCATAGAGGGAACGACGAAAACAGCAAACCTGCCCACCAACGCCAGAACGAAAACCAGGGGGAAACTTCATGTAAACCTCCTCAGCCAAATCACCATGAAGAAAAGCATTGTGAACATCCATCTGGTGAACTTCTCAATGCTTAGCAGCAGCCACAGCTAAGAATAATCGGACTGTAACCATTTTGGCGATGGGAGCAAACGTCTCATGATAGTCAAGACTTTTCACTTGATTATTGCCCAAAATCACTAGACGCGCTTTATAGCGTTCAACGGAACTGTCGGACTTATGCTTGATCTTAAAGACCCACTTGCACCCAATCGCACGCTTCCCAGATGGAAGAGAAACTACATCCCACGTGCCATTATTCTCCAAGGCACGAATCTCATCTTGCATAGCGGCTCGCCATCAAGGATCGGTCATAGCATCACCAAAAGTGCGAGGCGCAGCAGCAAAAAAAAAATAGATGAGCTGGAGAGAATGAATCACACGAATCATACTGTGCTATGGGATAAGGCGTACCGGAGGATGAAGACGACTGTGAAGAAACAGTGGGAGCTACAATCGAGGATCGAACAATGTCAACCACAAAATCCGTCAACCAAGTGGAAGGAACCTTAGTCCGATGACCACGACCCAAGGGCACTACCGGAAGAGTGGGAGGGGTTAGTGGTAACAGAACCCCCCCCCCCCCCCCCCCGGTTGTCAGATGTGTCCAAATCAGTAGCAGAAGACCCAGTATCAGGAGGAACATGAGGCAAAGAGACAACCGGAAGATCCTCATCCTCATCCGGCGCAGAAGAAACCGGCACAACAAAATGCGGTGACAAAGAATCTGGCTGAGACGAGTCTGATTAATATGGGAATTTAGTCTCAAGAAACTCCAAATCACGAGAGACAAAGAAAATCTGACGATCCAAATCATACAAACTCCACCCTTTTTTTCCAAAAGGGTAACCAACAAATAGACAACAACGACTCCGAGCAGCAAACTTGTCACCATTACGATCTTGGTTATGAGCATATCAAAGGCAACTAAAAACCCTCTGAGACAAAGAAGGAGTCGAACCATAAAAAATTTCATATGATGTTTTACCATGTAAAACCAAGGAAGGAGTCCGATTTATCAGATAGACCGCAGTCAAAACACAATGACCCCAAAAAGGAAGAGGTAGATGAGTCTGGAAACGCAAAGCACGAGCTACATTGAGAATATGCTGATGTTTACGTTCCGCACGCCCATTCTGCTGAGGGGTGCCTACGCAAGAAGTCTCATGCAAAATCCCTTGACGACGAAAATAAGAGGCCAAACACATGAACTCACTTCTATTATCGCTACGAACAACATGCACCGATTTATCAAATTATCGCTTAATCATAGAAAAACAATTCAGCAATGTGGAAACAACCTCCGTCTTATCATTCAACAAATAAACCCATGTTCCACGAGAACAATCATCCACAATAGTAAAAATATATCGTGCACCACAGAAAGACGGAACACGATACGGACCCCACAAATCACAATGAATCAAATGAAAAGTCTCATGACTAACAGTCTGACTGAGAGGAAAACTACGACGATGTTGTTTAGCACGAAAACAAGCATCACACGATTTATGCAAATTACGAGAACTAAAGTCAACAATAGGAACCTGGGACAATACTTGAACAGACGGATGATCCAAACGTTGATGCCGCACATCGACAAAAACTTTCCGAACACAAGAAACTGCCATAGAAACTGTCTCTCGAAAGAAGTAGAGACCCCCTAATTGCTCTTCCGCGCCAATCACCTTCCGTGAAGTATGGTCTTGAATAACATAAAATTTGCTTAAACTGAGCAGTGCAGTCGAAACGATCCAACAATTGATATAGTGAAATCAAGCTGCACCGAAGGCTTGGAACGTATAAGACATCATAAAGAGTGATATGAGATCCCAAATAAACAGTCCCAACCTTGCTAGCCATAGTCAAGGAACCATTAGACAATTGAACAGGACGGGCAGGAATATCTCGAACATCAGAAATAAACTCCAGAAACCCTGTCATATGATGAGTTGCCTCACAGTCGTACATGCAATCAAATAAACCACCCGTACCAGATAATGGAATATTTTGTTTAGCGGAATTAACCAAAAACACAAAGTAAGCCCATTGTTCATTGGTTAAACCACCAAGTGCAAGACGATCAGAATCACTCAAAACTGCACTAGCAGTAGAAGAACCAATATAACCAGCAACAAACGAATCACCAGTACCACTGGAGAACGCCGCATTCGCACAAGCACCACTATTGCCGCGAGCTCCACCACAGCGGCCACCACCGGAATTATATCTGGGGCCACCACTGGTGTCAGAATCAGATATTGAAAATGCAACCATGGCAAATCAATACTTGAAATAAACAAGTAGCAGCCTTGATGGTTTTTGTTTTTTTTTTTTTTTCGATC